AGGGCCATTTCGAAGCTGAAATTGTGTGGCATCTTAGGCATTAAATTGAAATGTTTGAAAGTCTGCGCCGAAATAATGTAACGGCTTACACTTAAAGATACCTCCTGGCGTACAAACTGTATGATTTGATGATATATTTGGACTAAAAACATATTAAAAATAATTAATTTGCTTCAAATCCTTTCAAAAACTTTGTATTCGCGAGAAGATACCCAATTTTCAGATTGCATTTGTCATTACTTAGTGTCCATTTACCATACATATTGAGGCCTAAGTAAATTCTTGAATTATTTTCTGCCAACTTCTCTTTCCGCCTTTTAATTGCACAGTCTGTTGTACGTTTACCCCCCTCAATGTTCCACAAACCGCCTAACCGTTCGACCAAGAAATAATAACTGATCTACTCCCTAATTCAAGCTAGCAGACAATAAGCCATTGGGTAGTTGGTGATGACCTGACATTTTTGCCCAGTGCTTGCCCCATAGGTGGTAACCCAGTATTTTTCTAGCAAGATTAGTCGTCTATACTTTCAATATATTCCAAAGTTGTCATACTTTTATTGGAAATAACCACCCGTTAATACTTTCGTTAGAATTTATCCGTGGTTTCGGATCCCCGGTTGTACGTGACAAGGAGTGGGGTCGCCTGTCCAACCTCGTGGGTTCTCTCCAGGCCCTCCGGTTTCCTCCCACTGCTAAAGACCCCTACGCGCAAGCGAATTATTGAAATAAAATTAAACCATATGTTAGTTCCGAAATGACCTAGTTTGTTTCGAGTGGACGTTAAACCCATCCCTCTCTCTCTCTCTCTCTCTCTCTCTCTCTCTCGTTAGAGGGCTGACTTGTCTATACTGAGCTTGAAGGTATTATGTTATATGTTATAGTGTGTCTTTCTATATATTTTATTACTATTTAATTCTAGTCAAAATAGCAATTGACCAATGTCCGAATTGATATCTCTTTAATGTTTCTGGTCTTTTAACTGTTTGGGTTTATACTTAATGCAACCATACAATATTACGTAATTATAGTTAACACGCGTTCTTGCTATGTCCATATCTTCTGCATGATGTATTTAAACATCTATTTTCTATGTACAATTTAACATTTCTTGTCAAATATTATTATATAATTATTTTAATCCTAAGCTTGTATATATGTTCCATATTCTACGGCTCGTCCTAGCGATACCTATCTCGTTATTGTGACCGTTAGCCAGTTTTTGGACACTCGTGTATTTAAAATACAATTTTAACTATTTATCTGAATTTCGTCGTTAGTTTTGGAATAATCTACAAACCCCAGAAACTGCACTTCGGCACATATTTCAAGATTTCGGATTACGTCCAACAGTATAGAAATATATTAACTGACAAAGGAGCACAAATGATACACATAAAAAACGCTTTCTAGTGTAGTGTTACCTAAAGGCAAAACAGGGGATAAAGCAAACTGATAAATAAATTCTTGCTGATATTAAAATAGATCCGGTATCAAAATGTAATTAACTATGTAACTTAAGCTCTTTCACGTTTGAATTTATTCAGGGGTCGAAGGGGAAGTTGGTATAAAAGCCAAGGTACGGTGTATACATCAGTAGAACACTCGAACGGTCCATGACAGAATTTCTTATCCAACGCATACGCGTTAACCATTCGGCCATCCAACACCCCACAGGCAAAATCACCTTTTTCGCATTGTACAGGCGTAATGGAGGAACCGAAATAGGGTTTAAAATCCCACATTTCTGCGCCAACCAGAAATGATAACAACTCTTCCAGGTCCTAGTGTAGGAATAGCCAATGAAACGTTCTATTACGGCGAACTTTAGGCGTAATTTGCACGGAACTGGGGATAATCCACTAGTAACATCAATGCTGATTGGTTAATCAAATGTCTGATGTCAAAGGGTCAAAAGCCGCTCGTATGACCTCTGACGCGACCTATCGCTACAACCTGTCAGATCTTCATGTAGTGTAGGCTATCGATAGTATAAAAAAAACGAAACGAAATACAGATCTGTATTTTAATCAGATTGAGATTTAACTGACAAAATAACGCAGGTCTGGCATTGAATCAAGAGGCGTGGTTTCGATTCCCCACTGGTTGCCTGTCCAACTTCGTGGGTTTTCTCCAGCACCTCCGGTTTCCTCCCACAGCTAAAGACCCCTATGAGCAAGCGAAATACATTTGAACCATATGCTAGTCTTGAAATGACCCCATTTATCTCTCTCTCTCTCTCTCTCTCGTAATGCATACTGACCATTTATAACACCAATATAAAATGCAACTGAAACTTGTCTGCGATATCACCCTCGATGGAAGCGGATGTTAAACACTAACAGAAGAAAAAGAAGCAACTGAAAGCCCGCAGATTCGATCGTTGACAGAAGAAGTAGCAATTTCGGTGTTTGATTTTTTTGTGCAATATTTATTAATTTTGCTATCCCAGACCCGGCTTTGCTTTAAGGGACATATGTAGTGACGAGTATGATGCAGGGGTATGTTAACTCTTTCTGCAACACATGATGTCTCCTCTCAATTCGGGTGGGGCGGCAATTCTCTTCTAGTTTTATTCTGCTTCTGTGTACTTCGAATAACCTATTTTTAATTTCTTGGTGGACGTATGGCCAACTATCTAACAGATGTCGTATACGAGGCAGTGTATGATTAGCCATCCTGGAACAGATTTATGATACCTACTACTTGTGATCATCGTGGAGTAACTATCTGCTGTCGATTAAGTTTTGGTGTTGATACTTGGTACATTTATTGTACTTCAGTAAAAAAAAAAGGGGGTGGAAGGGGTTATTGTAAAATTAATTTATTTTTGTTATTTAGAATTGAAGATTTGAAATTATGTCTAGTATGTTGATTATATGTACTGGTTAACTTGCGATCAAAGTTCAGGGATAAAGTTCTTTTCCATACAACATGTTCTTAAAGATGCCTTTTGGAAATGTCATGATATCTACCATTGATTTAAGTGTAGTGGTGTCGATCCTACATCTGTTTATGATAATGGGTAAGAGAACCTGCCTAACCACATGAGTTTTCTCTGGATTCAGAGGTTTCGCCGAGCCGCCTGACCTCGATCTCCCGGCACCAGATTTCGTTTTTCTAAAGGGGCTTTTAAAGAGAAATCGCCCACATAACCACTTCTTTAAGAACAAAATGAAATGGGGTTTAAGGTCCTACTGTTCTGCTCCGACAGGGCTAATGAAGACGGGCACGCGCCATACAGTGTGCTATGAGGGAAATTTTGCCCGAGCAGCGGTACTATGACCTACTCTTATATCAAATTCCAACTGCCAAGGGATTTTTTACGTTCGTCACATCCGAAGGACTAGGCAGCTGTATTTGTCAGGCCTTCTATCCTGCACCACTGACAAGGTGAAACAGCCTCTGAAAATCTCGATATACTTTCTCGGCCAATGCAGAAGTCGAACAAGCGACCTACAGGCTAGCGAGCCAGTGTCTTACCCACATAACTGCCGTGGCTCCCTACTTTGAAAAAACAAAAATATTAAAGTTGAACTGAAGTAGGGTGGGTGGGGGGGGGTATGAATTAAAAATGGCGTCCACCGATGTCTGGTTGTACCGCACTTTATTACACAAGCCCCATATCTGACTTCAGCACTAAAAATCACAAATAGGCCTGTACTAGACATTGTTGATAAATCCCCAAAAGTACTGATAGATTAATGAGGATTGCACCATCATCATTGACTTTCTAAATTTACACAAAGAGATTGGAAAATAGGATTATCGGTTCTTTTGGCGAAAATGGGGAGAACATGGGCGAGGGCGACATGAGATTAGACAAAAGAGCATCAGACATTGTCGGTATGCGACAATGAAGGAGGGAATTATAGGGAATAGGGTTTAAAATTATCGTCGCTCTGGGAAAGTACGGCTCCGATTTCGCAAGCTACTTCATGATTCAGAAAATCTCTTTATATCATAGCGGACAAGGAATATTCTATTCTAATGTCAAGGCAACTTTAGAAAAAAATTGTTCATATGGTTGCTACTGCTTAATCTGTTCTGTAGATATGTTCACTGACCTTTCTTGGCGGTTTGAAAATGCATGTATGCATGTAAAAGCTGATGTGATCATATATTGACGGTTTTGAATACCTATTAATTGTTCTGGAAGTTAAATTTCTGGATCCCGGTGAATGCAATAGGCTGAATCGAATGGGATTTCGTTTGCATACATCCCGTCACCATGCCTCGATCCTGTGGAACGGGATTTATTTTCATGTAATCCATTTATGCCCCGTACGCCACCTCTCCCTCCCACATACATAACTTACTGATCGAGCCCGTAAGAAGGTAGTCCCAATTTGCAATTTGATCCTAAGTACGATCGACATTGTATTATTAATAGTTGATCCTCGTACATTATTCAGCATACTTTATGCTGCACAATATATTTATTAATCTATGAGACAAACATTAAAATGTAAAATTATTATTTTATCTGGCTTCTCGGATCTTTTCATACTCAGCTAACGTGTATTTTTTTGCTTGGCATATTATTCACAAACTAAGCTCTACTGAGAAGGTATTCCTTAACTAGTAAATTAACGAAAGTTAACATTTTAAAGTTGCCAAGGTGCTTAATTTGTTTGGTCACTAAGGATTAACTCCCTTGATCACGCAAGCCAGTCAGATTTTGGGCCATTTCAAGAAAATCCAAATGGTTATATTTTCAAAAATCAAACGTGTTCAGACTTCGGTTGTTGAAAAATGAAGTTTTTATGGTAAGTCTTATCATATACTGTTAAAATAAGCCCCAAATATCGTCTTTTTGTTGTATTTTTTTCTGGGCATGAACCACTCTACCTATGCGCGTCTTCAAGTGGAACTTAAAAGCAAATTCATTTCATTTCCATTGGGTGTGTAATAAAATTAATGCAAATGTTACATTGTTTAGTTCAATTGTGTTTATTTACTTAAAGCTACATATTGACTACGTTCAGTTGTGTCTATTAAATAAAAACTACATATTATGTTCATTTACTTAAAGCCACATATATATCTACATATATGTTTATTCGGTTAACGCTACATTTATAGGTTCAACAACCATTGAAATTAAAACAGATTACTAACTGTGTATGTATTCTATGGAACATAATAATGTTAATTTTAAGGAGATTATATTTGTTCTTATATAAAATAGTTTAATGGCATTTTTACAACGTTTATAGCTGGACATGTATTTCATACGCTAATGTCGGGTGGGCACTAATACTTTGTAGATTTATGGTTATTGGTGCGTCTTCTTCTTCGCCGTCTTCTTGTTTATTAATCAGAGAACGTCTTTGACATTACTAACATTACTAATGGCAACATCCAAGATATGGCTAGACCAGCACCTTCGAATTAAAAAAAAAACGAAATAAGTGGTAATGCAATCACCACCAAATGTGACAAACTTTTAAAATATGAACAATTATTAGATATATTGAACAATTGACCCCCAGCTGGTTTTGATAATATATGATATTAGCTTTCCAACTCTACGACCTTGTTCTTAAAGCTGAACTCCGATTACAAAACTACAGAAATAATTACGCCTAAGTGATCGATCGCCATGTTTGTTCTACAAAAGTGAAAACATGTATGGTGGTTGTTTAGGGATTTAACATTTTTTATTTAATTATTTCTGTAGTTTTGTTCTCAGGGTTCAGCTTTCTTTAAAAATGTATTCGCTGTGTTTGATTAACAGACTTGATTAATCCCATGCCATTGACAAGTTACATTATGATCTGTGTATGATCTGGCCATTTTATTAAAGATACATTATGGGAGATCAGATAAAGAGCTGCTAGTTCTCACTATAATAGTTAAAAAAACTAAATAATGTAAAAGGAATTTGCTGCGTTCTGAACTGAGATTTTAACGATTAAATTTTCAGCCTAGCTTCGATCATCATTAATAAAGTTGGTACGATAAAGAAAACATAGTCTCGATTATCCATTTCTGGATTATATCATGAATGGAAGTCGAACAGCAAATCGGAACCTAATCCAATATACATCGCAGGCTAGCCATGACATCGAGAGTTGGTTATGGTTTGAATAAGTTAATTAATGTATAATTAATAATTTAGATAACATTTCAGGCCTTAAGAAAGACCTGCAATAGGCAGATTTAACTTTTGCATAATGTATGGTTAAAATGAAAAACGTAGTGGTCAGCTATACATACAATGACGTGGTAATCAACAACTATATATAATGGTGATTTTGTGGTGTGAGACCCCAATCCTTATAAGAAGTTCGCACCCACTTTGCTTAATTGTTGGACGCTATATAAACACGAGTGTACTGAAAGTAGGACAAACTTCTATCATTATGCTGATCTTCTGTCATCTGTATTGTTACGCACATATAAAATATTGCAGATGCTAAGATTTGTAAATGTGTTGACCATCAAAATACCGGGAAAAATCCGAAATCATGTCTTAACAGAATTACATTGAATCCATGTTCCCGAAGGCGTGTCATAAGTAATGGGAGTAGAACCCTTGTTCTGTCACACCGGTGTTTATGACTGACTACATATATATAAACTTCCCATCCCAGACTAAGTCAAGTATATGCTAGAGATTAATAAAATCAGACCGTAGGAATTAACGAGGGATGAGATTAGTCAAGTCTCGAAGTAATTAACGTGCAGATTGGTCAAGGCCGTGAATTCTAACTTTTATCAGGCCGCCCCTCTCCCTAAAGTTTAGCGGTCAGATCTAGTAACTTGAATAAGAATAATAATATATGTGTATCCGTACAACAACATCCATGGCTACATCAACTCCCCATATAAAGGAGACGGGGTGGTATCGTGTGTATCTGCCTCGTATGTGATACCAATTGCTGTTTCGGTAAACCTTCCAGTGTTTTTTTTTAGCATGTACGGACAATCTGAACACCTGTTCTTTTGAATACCAACTGTGGATATGTGCCAGGCAGGGGCACCGGTACCAGGGTATACTAATGGTACCTTGCCCTTTTCTGGGGTATACATATATACCCGTGCCTTAATGATGACAGTTTTAAACCTTTTTAAATGATAGATATGTAATTGTGAATAATCAGGCTTTTATCTCTTTCATTATCATGTATTTTAAAGGGTTTTATTTTGGAATTTGGAATGCTAGAGTTGCTCTAAACAGCGTTCTCGGAATTGAATAATTTCAAAATTTTCTAGAGGCCAGGGGTAGAGACCCCCCCCCCCATATTTTGGTACCCTGGCCCTCACGCCGTTCCAGCGCCCCTGGTGCCAGGCGTTTTACCCCCCAACCCCCATATTAAGCAATGAACTTCAACACATGCGTGCAAAAGTGGGTTGAAAAAAAACCCCCAACAACACGTGAATAAAAATGATAAATATTGAATCATGAACGGAAATAATACGTCAACGGTGTGGGTGGAGTGATTAAGATCTATAATATACTAAAATCGCCTGCTTACCACTGTTACATTTCTTAAACGTTTCACCTGTGGTACAGTCGTTATCTCTCAGGCATTTAAAGTACGGTTCTTTCTTCCTGAAACAGAATCAAATTATTATCTAACATTAATCTAACGTGAAAAGCAATGGGTTACAAAGATCCAAAATGTGAATGATTTCAAATATATTTATGGATAATTGAACTTTTGTCAAAGTGACATAATACCGTTCAGAGACCATGCATATCTGACCAAACCATATTTTCCTCCAATCTGTAGCCTGGTCCTTGTTTGCGATTGTATCTTGCTCACTGGTGAAAAAATTGATTTGATTTTTGTTATATGAGATACATTATCTATCTACAACACATTTATTCTTGTTTGTGAGTTTTGTCAAGTTTATCCTGTGTTAGATATAACTCATCCTTGTCGGTATTACGTCACTTTATCAAACCTTCATTTATCCATAATTTTATCTTTTATTGGAATATATCAGTATTTTGGATATAATAGGCATGACATGCATAGGTAAGATATATCTTTGGTTTTCAGTCACAATTTTTATATATTGGTTCTTGCATATTATTATTTCCAGCAGAACGGTTCTTAAAGTAATAAAATTTGTTTCAAATCTGTTAACTTCCTATGGACTCAACTCACAAATGATATTTCAGTTTTGTGTCGGAGATCACGTAAAGGGGGGCGCAGGTGGACTGTGACAGAATGGCAAAGATGTTTTAAATTTAATTTTCTTTCCATTTGTGACTCCCGGAATTCCGTGCACAGCTCGAACAACACTCCCCCAAACAACCCATTTAACTGGTTAATTTTAAATATTAAACAAAACGTAGTTTACTTTAAAAATCCTAGATCAAACTGTCGCATAGCCAAATAGAACGAGATTTGAATAAAAACAAACCATCGGTGGTGCTTATGCCCCCTGCCACAATCCCAAAATAAATAGATGACACATATTTATACGTTTGAACAAACATTGTCAAGGCATTCGCCTAATAGACATCTACCTCAAGTTTAAGCATTCTATCTCAAATAGGAGGGTTATTGTGTTCAAAATTCTCGACCAATCAAATTGCTTATCGCTCTCTTTACCCTCAGCAGCAAATGCCCATTATCGAACTTGGTCATGGTTTTGATGTAATAAAATTATGCACCATGTATCGCCATCAATACTAGACTTTATCATACAGACTATTTTGTTAACGCGAATTGCATGTATTCAAATGTGAGCTGGTAAATTGAGACTACAACAACTTCCGAGGCAAAAGTCGACAGTACGACAGCAAGCCAAAATGATAGGTCGCTAATAGCGCGTTGTGTTTATTTCCTAATTTCTACTTTTCGAGTTGGTATGCATGTTGTTACCATCTTACTGAATCAATAAAAACAAAAATATGACAAAGTCGACAAGACGGTACACAAGCCAAACTGCAAGTCGAAAATAAGAAATTAGGAAAAAACGAGGGGCGCTATTATCGCAGTGTACTATTTCTTAATTTCCTATTTCTGAGTCCATTTTGACTTGTATAGCGTGCTGTCGCCTCACATTTTGTCGTAACTTCTACTTTTCTACTTTCGTGTTTTGAAAGGGCAAAAAGTAGAATTTATGAATGGTAGTTATAGGCTCCTATAGATTTAACACTTACATAATGTATGTCAAAGTAGAACCAACGATATCATGTCCCAAAGCGTCAACCAATCAAAGCACTTGTGTCTGTTTAGCTTAAGAAGAAAATGTTAATCTTCGAACTTTATCAAGGCCTTCGCCCAATAAACACATTCGCCAAGTTTGAACATTCTGTCTCAATTAGTAGGAGAGTTATCGTGTTCCAAACTCCCGACCAATTGAAGTGCTTGTCGTTCTGCTTACCATGAGCAGAAAATGCTCATTATCATGTTAGTCAAGGTATTGATGTAATGAAACTATACCCAAGTTTCACCACTCTCGCTTGATTAGAACTAAAGAAATCGTGTCCCAAAGCATCAACCACCAAGCCATTCACCAAATAAAGACCTACACCAAGTTTCAATATTCTAGTTTACAAAACGTATGACGGACGGACAGATTGACGGACGGACGGACGCGCTTATTTTAAGAGTTAAAAAAAATGAATCAAGACCATCAAAGAGAACACACTGATCAGACTGGTTAAGCTCCGTTCGACTTCTTCAAGATTAATTAAAATATTTGAATAACATGGACCAATATTGACTGGTAACTTGTTTGGGTGAGTGTCAAAAAGATTGCATGTTGATGCTAGAATTTAGTTTTCACTATGTCAAAAAGCCTCCAGATCATTTCAAAATAGTGGACTAAGAATGTGGTGGACAAACAAGTATTTTGTATCGAATGATTCTCAACAACCGCGTGACCAATATCGCTCTCATTCTATCGTACCATCAAAACTGCTCTGACGAAAGTTTGACAAGATTAAACTATATTGAAATTGGTTGGTTAACAAGAGTTATTGCCCTTGTCACAAAAATTGCGTATAAGATCTACGAGAAGTAAAAACAAGAATTGGAGAATTACTTAAAACAGCTTTAACACCAAAATGTAAATACGAAAAACAGTATAAGCATAAAACTGAACCAAACAGGTTACAGACTTATACCACAATACCCGAGTAAAAACGCCTAAAAATACATCTAATTATTCTGGGATGATTACTTACGCGCAATCAGAACTCGCAGCAGCAGTCTCAAATGATTGGCATTTAGTTTTCGCAGTACCACACTCAGCATCATCTGCATTGGTGTCTGTCAATGCTACAGCTGGAAAGATAAGACAAACGTGAAAGATACCACAAGGCCATGTTGTAGCACTGCCGTTGCCACATATCTCTCTTCTGGGATGATCGTCTAAATGTTTGTTTGATTCTGGGCTGCTACTGTTGTATCTCTTTTCTTAAGGACTTCACCTTTGTTTTCTTACGATACCGACTCAAATATGTAACAGGAACAATAATAGTTTGTTCCTATACGTTTTTTTTCACAATAGTCTACATTACAATATTTAAAATTAAATTAACATTTCTTTCTCCCAAACCTGTAAAAGTCTAACCAGCGTGGCTAGACTCAGGAAACCACTACTTCGTGAAATGGTCGTCTAAAGAACCCAATGCGTGTCTGACTCTTAACGAATCCAATGCGTGTCTGATCTCTAAAGAATCCATTGCGCGTCTGACTATTCTAGCTCCATCTTATTTATAGGTGCCTATTCTTTTGTCTGTTGTGTTTACGTAACAGACTGATAACAGCTAAATTCCCTCTATATCGACAGGGATTGTTACCTAATTTGGTCAACAAATATGATATATGTTTTATAAGTAAGAAACACGTAAATGACCAACATGTTCATTATTCTATAGCTCAGTTATCGTATCAAATTAACCAGCATATACTTTCTATATTTTTGGTTATGAATCAAAACTATGAAAGATAATAATATTGTTTCAGCCATCATATTTCTCCATTCCTTGTCTTTAGACCCCATGTACTGTTATTGTCACAATATTTCATAAACAATTTAATTTGCGTTTCAGAATAATATTTTGGCAATGGAGAATAATTAATCAAGACCATAATTTTACTTTAATATGTGTTCTTTAGCACAAATCCCTGCCATCCATATTACTACAATGTACAATATGTACATATTGTCACCATAAAAATAAAAGAGGAACAGAAATGAAATCGGGATTAACTGTCTACTTGTCTGCACCATGCGGGTATTGAACATTAATTTTTGAATTGATTTGATGGGTTATTCCTTTAAATATGCGTTATGTAAGATTTAAATAAAAAGATGGCCGTTCCCGTTTTAATAGTTTAAAAATAGATAATGCAAAATGAATATATACATTTTACCCATCACTTAAAGATGCATTACGTAAGAGCTAAATCTGGCTAAATCCGCATATATTAAGTATTTATTTTGGCTTATTATTATTATTTAAACATTTATTCACATGACAAGCATATAATCAACACCCCAGGACATCGGGTGGCGCATATGTAAACGGATTAAAATACGATCGCAATTTAATGATTTAATTTAAAAATGGAGAAGCGTGTCTCGATTAACAAGTAACGTGGCTGCGATAATAAATAATTAATGTCAAAACTTCAAACAGTGATAACGTCGCTCAGAATTAGGTAATTTGAATGGAATTTTCAATTATATTCATTTTGCATTATCTGTGTAGCCTATGTGCCGAAGTGCTGTTTTCTGGGGGTTGCAGCTTATTCCAACACTAACGACGATAATTCGGAATAAATAATTAAAATTGTGCTTTTAATAAAAGAGTGTCCAGAACTGGACAACGGTCATAATAACGAGATAGGTTTCGCGAGCCGGTCACCAGACTAAAGTTACAGAAGAATATATAACATATATACAAAGCTTAGGATTAAAATAGTGTTAGATTGCACATAAGAAAAAGATGTTTAAATACAGAAGATGGTATGGACAAAACAAGAACGCGTAATATATATCGTTATAACAGTTAAAAGATTTGAAAGATTAATGAGATATCAATTCGGACATTGGTCAATTAATACTTTAATTTAATTTTTATAATAAAATATATACAAAGATACACTATAACATATTATGCACTATTATAGCGAGAACGACCAGCTCTTTATCTAAATCTTACATATTGCACCTTTAAGTAATGGGAGAATTTGTATATGATTAAATTTTTGTTTCGAAATACCAAACGGGAGATGAATTAAACTGTCAACTGCTTAACACAAAACCAATTATATCCCAACATTAGCTAGTAGCAACAGCCGCCAACCTACATAGGTGCATTATGTGCGATTTGAATAAAGCGGTAGCCGTTCTTTCTATAATAATTTCGTAATTGATAATGAAAAATTAACTTAAATAGATTGTTTATTATCGTAGAAGCGGTACTTGTTAATCGAGGCCTGGCCTCAATTTCCAATTTTTAAAAAAAATTAAATCATGAAATCCATTTAAACCTCACCATCCGATACTCTAGGGCAGTGATTCTCAACCAGTGTGCCCCAGCACACAGGTGTGCCACGAGATCTTCCTAAGTGTGTCACGAAACTTTGAACGGCACACTAAGAACATTTCTCACTAAAGAAGTCATTTATTTGAAGTAAGTTCATAGTTGTGTTTGTCTTTATTTAGTTTGAGTCATGCTATGTGTCTATGACTTGCCATGTCTTTATTTTGCAAAATTCAAATATTTTTCATATATATTTAGCCAGGTGTGCTGTTACTTTTTAAATGTGTTCCAAAGTTGAGAACCACTGTCCTATTGAGTTTATTATAGGCCTGTCATGTGATTAAATATCTGATTAATAATTTATAACAACCGAAGAAAGACCTGCAACAAGCAGATTTAGCTCTTACGTAATACATATTTAAACTTAAAATATAGAACGATACCAACTTCTCAACACAAGTCAAATCTGATTAAATTAATATATTTATTTTCTTTAATTTTTTTAACATAAATCTCCGAATTCTTCCCACGAACTATTGAAATAAAATTGAACTATTTGTTAATCACGAAATGACCTAGTTTGTGTCGAGTCGACTATAAACTCTCTCTCTCTCCTTTTTTTTAGGTTCGTTGATTTGTAACGTAATGAACTTAAAAATGAAATAAAACAAATGATTAGAAAAAAAAATGAATTGAAAATAAATCTATTGAATATAAAACCTGATCGAAAAAAGCAACTTACCAAGAAAAACAACTAGACAAGCAACAACCTTCATCCTGATGTTTTAATCAAATTTCTTCTTTGGCAAAGTAACGTGTATCTTGGAGTATCTGAGAACTGTCTCCGAAAGATCAAATCAATTCCATTTATACGCGTGTTTTGTAGTTCACCTGTATCATGTAATAATTTACATATATCGTTAAGATCATAATACAAGTGCTCGACTCATTTTTTAGGTTTTGAGATCAGCGAAAAAATACTTCCCTACTAGAGGACACAGTTTCTGTCTTCAAACATTCATGATAAAAGCCTTGTTTATCTCAACATGGGCGGTTTACTGCAAGGTCAATACATGCACAGAAAAATGACTTGAGCAATTTTTGACCACTTTACTGTGTTTGGAAATAGCGTAAGAAAAGATAAAAAAATTTTTTTTGCATCGCTGCGCTTGACAAGAATCATATCATTTGCGCCAACCACTTTACAAAAATCCTGCATCCTCCCCTGGGTCTTTTGTCAAATTAAAACTGTATAGGTAGAAATTTTAAAATGCAATGCATGTCGTATTTAATGTAACAAACAAATTTCACTCAAACATCTTTATTCTTGAACTTGTAACACTGTGCATTGAGTCGTATTCCATGTTAGTATCACCGGAAACCAAATATTTTTGACAAATGTTGACACCTGTTTCTTTAGACAAATGAACGTAGGCATTTGCATAGTTAGCGTTCTTATTATGATATCCGCAGCCATCAGACCAAATAATGAGTTCTTGGATCTTATGGTTTAATTCAATGATGGATTTGAAATAATTGTACTCAATGTATGCATATGTTTCACTCGATATATCACCATCTGTCTCGCCCACATGTAGCAGTAACCATCGCGGTTGATCAGGTTGTGGAGTGTAGTCCTAACGTTATGCACCTGGAGTTTGGTTCTGCAGTACAGAGCACTAGCTTTGCTTTGTGGACAAAGAAGAACTGCCTGTGTACCCATGGACCATACTGATACAGATTCATCTGCAGCCGCGTGTTCCTTGTCGCGACACTTTTCTGCTCTAGCATGATCTTTTGCAGCAAGATGCTTTTGGCGACTCTCTTATGAGATATTTCCTTGTTTAGCTCCAATATAGGTATCGCATTGACCCTTTCGTGGAATGAAAATTGACAAGTTCAGTTTTCGAAACATCTCTTTGAAGTAAGTGAACCCACCTACTCGCTGTCCAGCCTCAGCCGCCATTGTCTGATACTGATCATATAATTCAGAAACTTTGGTACCAGGTTGAAGAAATCGTGTCTCTCTGTAGGCTAGGATTCTACACAAGGGACGCCCAAAAGCCACTGTTTAAGAAATCCAACAGATTCGTCTGACATTTTCTGCGTAGGACCAGATCTAGCCGACTCTTTATCCAAGGTGGCAGTGGGTGCTTCTGTTGGATTCTGCCTAGTTATTTACAACGCACACAGATAGTTTTACTGACTTTATTGATAAGAATATTTAATCTGGTATCAATAATAACGCCGTAAAAAGCCGTGGTGACTCCCACACTACAACAACAATATGAAAATTGTGAAAATTTTTCAATCAAACGACATTAAGAAGGGAGGCAATTCTAAGCATAGAGTCATTCGGTAACGTCACTTCAAACATAATGAATACATCGTCTATTAGCGCAAAGCGTAACAGCACAGTTGGAATTAACCATGCCTTAGTCACTTTCCCTACGTTCAACGTCGTGACTTAGGCACATGGTTGAGATCGGCAGGAATTGACCTATACACTTTTTCTCACTGAACACTGATTCTAAAGAATATTTAAGAATTACTAAAGTAAAATTAAGCACAAATTCTTTTGGTAGCTATTTACCTTCCTGAATAAGAACAATCACTTCCTTTTGGCTGTACAATTTATGTTTTTCTTGACGTTTTCTAGACGCCATATTGCTTTAAATGGAGTTGCCTACTCAGTAGACTAGTTAGGCAAAGTATAAATAAATAGACTAGTAACACTATTAATTAGTGTGACTTTCAGCAGGTGGGGTAACTCTGAGCTTCATCCGAACACCAATAACTCAAAATGATTAAAAGGTGACTTGAGCACTTGTTTTATGACCGTGACGATATGTAAAAATGATCCCAAATAAGTAAGCAGCTGTATTTTATGCAATAATCTTGGACATTGAGCCATTACACACTCATATTTACTTTGTCCCGTAAATACTTGTTTTATATATTGTTACAGCCAATAGTAGTATAATATCGTAGCAAAGCGAAATTGCATGCGAGAAAAGTTTTTTTTTGGATAGATTTTATTTATTATAATTATTATACAAAATAATAATATCTATATAGAAACAGTAAGAAACTCCTTATCTATCTATACATGACATGAAATGAAATGAAATGGAGTTTAACGTCCTACTGTTCTGCTCCTAACCTGGGCTAATGAAGACGGGCATATATGTGTAGACAATATAAAAAATCAGTACAAAATAATAATATCTATATAGAAACAGTAAGAAACTTAATATCTATCTATAAAATCAGTACATAAATAAATAATAAATAAATATAGCAAATGAAATGTTGATTAACGGATTAACGTCTTGCGCTTCTGCTACATCCGTGCAAATGCAAGTTGTGCACGACCAGCGGTGCTATCTCCTACTTTTATTTTGAACTCCCGACTTCAATGGTTCCTTTACGTGTTCGTTAATGAGTACACGGGACCTTGGTTTTTTGTCCCATCCGAACGACTAGACAGTAAACTCTCCCTTGCCAGGTACTTAGTCCCCCACCACGGAAAAGTCGGTACCACGCCGGAAAATACCGATGAATTCCAACTGTCAGGGCGCCTTTGCCGATGAACTATCTCGGCCAATGTAGGGATCGAATACGGGACCTTAATATTATCGATCAAACTTCTACTCCCTGAGTTACCGTATCTCGCAAAAGGTGGGACGTTAAACCCCATTTCCGGCGTGTAGTCGTTCGGATGGGACGAAAAACCGAGGTCAAATGTACATATTGGCGTGCACGTAAAAGACGCCCTGACAGTTGGAATTTAATATAAGAGTAAGTTGTAGCGCCGCTTATCTGGACAAAATTTCCATCAACGTAAACTGTCTTCATTTAGCTCAATCGAAAAAGAAAAGTAAGACGTTTAACGCCATTTCATTTTCCTACTTTTCTACACCAAACAGACTATTAAAGATAGGTATACGCTATGCAGAGTGCTATGATGGAAATTGCCAATGAATAGAGGCATTTCTTCATCGTATTAAAACTGTGAAGGGGTCTTTTATGTGCACGCTGCAATGTGTACCCAGGAGCTTGTGTTTTTGTGCCATCTACACAACTGGACACGGTTCATCGTTCGCCCTGCACTATCAACAGGGAGAAACCACGATGCAAAATCACGTGGAATTTTTTTTACCAACACCAGGATCACTGTACATAATCCTAGTATTGTCGAGGAGTATGACCGACAACTCCACATTATATTTTAACCCGACAGCACGAAATTTTACCCGACAATACTACTTTTTAAGCGACATTTCGACACGGTTATTCGAGTGAATATGCATATTCTTTAAAGTAGGTCTTTATGTCCATATGCTGCAGTTTATATTTAATCGGGTTGCCGTTCACTACATTATAGTCAGATGTATTTCGTCTAGGCCGTAATAATATTAAATTGGGTGATTAATGTTCCCCCTAAAAGTCAATATATGTGATAAAGTGGAGATATATTCACTTGATATATTTTCCGAGGTTCTATCCGGATTATCACCCTTATTGTTAAAATTATTTGACGTTCCAACTCATGGCGTCAAGTAATGGTTAATAAGAATATACCCCTCAAATGGCCTATACGTGTCGTAAAAGGCGACTAAAAGGGGTCCCTGTAATGAAGCAACGTGTTTACCGTGCGTTGCAACCCGTGTCGGTGGAGGGTGGTATCCTGGTAAGTGAGTTGGGATTTGGCTTGCAAGCCCTTTCTCTGTAACACATTAATATGGCCCATTGTTCACCGTGACGAGCGGTCAGAGCGGCCCACTCTGTGATCAGTCGGCTTTGGTCGTTTCAGCTCTGTAGAAATTACATTTCTCAATTTGAAAGCTTTGTTTTCTACACTCAGCAGGTTTACCTTTGTGTCCTGAGTACATTCTACAGAGCGGCGGCTTGGGTCAATCCGGTTAGATAGATATTTTACTTTCAGGCGTGAGTATACACCTCGTCGAGTCACGAGGCTACGCGCCTTAGTAGGCGAAATGAATGTTTAAACAAGTGTAATTTATTTTGTATCAATATGCTTGGCTAAATGTATCGTTCGTGTAAAAGGATATTATCTGCGCATCTTACTGTATACAGGCCTAACAACAGTAGCACAGTAAAAAAAATGCATTCTCAGCTTTAATTTGTCATGGAATATGTATAATAAAGCCTAATTTGTGTTTGCTGTAATATTTCATCGTAACTAATAAAAACTATGCAGCCAGTCTAGAATCAGCAATGTTCTAACTTATTAAGCCTTCACAGGCCTAGTCATATTTTATCTTTAGGCCTACTTTTTGGGGTATGATATTTACTACTTGAAGGTTTCTTCATAGACCCCTTAAATGTATTTGAATGGCTAAAATTTCCTTTTTTAGATTGTAAGAAAAACTGTTTGCTTATAACATTATTAGATATCAGGTATACGTGTATAATAATAAATGAAAGGTTATATGTTTTTATTAACTTCATTAAATATGTGGGAAAATATAGTTAAGATTGTAAGGAAATTCTCCGTAAAAATTCAGATCTTAAAGGGCGTACGGCTCAATTTTTGTGGGTCTAACAGCACATATTAATGTAATATGAGTGTATATAAAGTGATTTATATTCGATTTTTGAAAAAGAAATTGTAATTTCTAATCAATTATATTCGGTGAAATACGCGGACAGTCCAAACTGCACGACAATCCCTTACGCCTATAGATTAGCCCATTCTTCGTGGTTTTTTTTAACTATTATTTTATCATTTGTGAATCAAACATTGCTATTTCCTATACCGCATTGTAATTTAGGATATGTTTTTCTTTGTTTATTGGTATTGCACCCGA